CAAAGAACGGCGTATTTAGAGTTTCGGCGTTAGGAGCTAAAGAAACAAGGGATTTGGGGGATGCAGATGCAGATGCAGATGCAGGATTTGGGGAACGACGCCAGCTGGCTGGCTGGCTGCAGGATTGATTAGTCGAGATTGGGGGACTGTGGTGATGCACGGTAGGAGGGCGGCGAGGCGACGGGCTGGGGTTTTTTTGCGTGGCGTATGTACCTAGGTAAAGGTGGCGTTTGTTTGCCTAGGGATTTTAGTGATATGACATGGCAAATTTTAACTTTGAGCTTTTGTTAGGCTAATGCTCATCATCGATGTACTATGCCATGTGAAAAGCCGGGGTAAGGAAGGAGAGGAGCTGGAGGCTGAAGGGCTAGCGTGAGGGGTCTGAAAGCGGGGGTGTGTGGATGGTGATAGTCGGTGGTAGTAGATGGCGAAAACGAACGAAAGATGGGGGGGGGGGGGTCAGAATCCTAATGTTGGTGGGTGGTGGTGTGTTTACTACTCCGGAGTACTCCTATGGTACGATATCCCAAGTGATTTGCGAGGATAGGGAAAAAAGACGAGATCTCAATCTCGTCACTCTCCCGATCATCTGATCGATCTATCTGCTGTGGGATTTTCCCGCCCGAACCGAATACAAGATACTGGATATACATACAACACGGCGTGCGGCGCATGTTGCATACATGGATCTATACTTCCATGCATTATTACAACTTGACTTCCCCTTGGTCTGTGTACCAGACTCCCCTCCCTCATATGTGCTGTGTGCGTGCGTATGTGTGTGTGACACCACGGAATCCAGTACCGCGCCTCTCTCCGTTGAGAGCGAAAGTACGAGCTGTAACTTCAGTCGGAGGTGAGTAGAAAAGGATGAGAAGCAAGGACCACAAAAGCGGGTAACGGACATGCACCTGCATGATTGTCAGAGCAAGGAAAAAAGCAAACCTGCAGCCTGGGTCCGTCGCAAGGTGCAAGACCAAGATGAGCATCGTGCAACGATCTGTGTGATATGTGTATGGGTAAACATGCAGGGTGTCTCGAGCCAACACCAACACCGAGACAAGAGAAACGCAGGGGCTGGATCGATCTTCAAATCCGCCTCTGCTACCTTGCCCTGGCAGCTGCTGGCGCCGCGTGGTTGCGCAATGTGATACAAATGTCATCTTTCGGCCTCATAGTCCAGCCATTCACAGCGAAGAAGCAAACCTCGCACTTTGCCTAGTTTGTGCTGCTCTCTCCGAACCATCGGGGGGCGAGGGAGCGTTGGGATCCGCTGGTTCGGCGCGCGCTACCTATTCCTACACCGGTATATCGTGGATGGGTGGTACCGATGGTACCCTATACTGTAGTCGCCCATCCTACAATGTGCTATATCGGTGTCGGTAAATCAAATCTTTGCCGTCCGTCGCAGAATGTGCTGTTTGGAGAAGGCCCCTTGCATAATGGAAGCGCGGAAGCATCTAGGGTGTATAATCGCCTGCGAGGTTCCTATATCATGATGGGATCTTCTCTTGGATTCGGGTCCTACTACCGCATTTTGATCGAACCTGCGTCTTGTGTGGTATGCGCGGTCATCCGTCTGTCGGAGATCCTGTGAGCGCATCTCCTTTGTGGCACAGTCGCTGGAAGGGCATGGCGGATGGTGGCGGCTGAAGATGATGGGTTTCACAGCCGATGTGGATGTGTGCACGGGATGGATGAATGTGTTTGGAGAGTGGGTACTGCCGTCGGGCCTAAGCTTTCTTTATCTCCGCAGCCGTCTGGCTGGCCGTTTATATGGAGCAATGGATGGCTGGAAGGTACGACCCGACCAATTACGTCCTGCACATCGAAATGAGGTAATTGCAGCATTGTCGCTGTTGGTATGCTGTCTCACAAGCTCACGATATCGGGTGCACGTGCTTTCAAGTTCAATTGCCCACATGCTCGAGTGTGGAGTATCTGCCAACTTGCGAAGAAATGCTTCGCTGCCGCCAGTTCCGATTGGCTTCGTATCCCCGTTAATGACAAGTATTTCTCGACCCTGCTTGGTTTGTTGGCGGCGCATATTGCCTTTATCAGCCGCAAGCGAGGCACCGCGCTTGCAGACGACGTGCTGCGATGCAATCTTGGGAGCTATACCGAGTGTCACATATAGACAATATATCGTGATGACAACGAAGAAGGATCCTTCCGCGCTTGATCCACTTTACGAGAATGACCGCCGTTCGGCCCAATGCAACCGCGACCCGTCTCTTGCCTGTTCCGACCTGGCTGCATAGTAGGCCCTGTCTTTTGACAGCTGTCATTGCCACGGTTGTGATGAGAAGCGTAGTCTTGCAGACGCGGCTTATCCTGTGATCACGGCAGGGGGTTCAATTCCAGGTCCCTCAATTCGCTCCACTGCTGACTGTGAGGGGGCGGTTTCGCTGCGCCACGAGTCAGCGCCTACGCGCGAGGGGGAAACGGGGGAAATTCGCCGGCACGCCTGAACGGCAGTTTCTTACGTGAGGTGAGGTGCGCACAAGACATCCCAGTGATCCCGCAACGGATGGCGAGTCAGACTTAATGTGAGTTTGCGCGCGAAGCGAAAGGACTGTAGTGTTTGGTTCTGGCCCGTGGTGGCTGATGCGCCAATCAAACAGTGGGATGGGTCGAGCTTCAGGGAGAGCCCGCGACTCAACTCCAAGGGGGGCTTGTGCTCTGTTGGTCTGCAGCGCCAGTCGGGGCTACTCCACCCAAGGCTACGCTCTTGCGGCTAGCGTTTCGCTGGGACTGACGGAACTGGGAGGACGGTTGCGATGACTGTCTGTGCATTCCCGCGGTCGATGAGGTATCGCCAAGCTGGGGAAGCGGAAATGGACATGAATGGCATCTGTATGCTGCTACTGTATCAGGAAGGAATGGATCGCGTGGGTACAATAAAGCGTCTAGAGCGTCCAGGTTCATGCATAGAAGATTGACTTGTGCAGAAAACCTGCTAACAACTGGAGCCGTAATTCTGGGTCAGTTTCCGATGGCTACGTGGCTTCAATTGCGACTCTGCATCGTCGGGCGGACAGTTTCCATGCGGCGTAAATGGGAAAGTTTTGCTGTTCAAACAGCCCCTTGCACATGCTATGACGTAGGCGCGCAGCCGTCTTGATGCCGTGTGGTGCCGAAGTATACCCAACGGCACTTAAGCATTGCCTTCGGCAGTGCAGCCAGGATGCAAGACCGGGTACAGCAGGTTTGCATTCACGTTGCGGCCCGATTGTATACCCACATTCTCAAACAACCGTCCAGGCGTTGTGACTCGATGAGCGCGCCCGCGGCCTCGCGTCCCCAGCCAACGACGCAAACCGTTAGCACCCACCGAGAGAGTTTTGCCTGCGCTAGAGCCCAGATCTGCAATCGACACCCAGCGTTTCCCGAAGGCGCTGTGTGCTCCGAGCGATCGACGCCGACTATTTATACAAGAACGTTGCAAGGGCAGTGCGAGGTCTTTGAACCCGGTGATTCGGATGTGTTGCGGGTGCATTTCGTTCAGTTTGGTGAATTCTAAGCGACCGATTGGGTTTGCATGGTCAAATCGTGAGGCTAACAAGAAAAGATCAGCAGGCAGTCGCGTGAGATGCGTGGCGAAGCCCATCAGAACGGTATCGAAACGGTGATGATTGGCGAGGCTGATGACGCTGCTTGATGAGGTCATTGTCTATTGCTAGATCTGTGGGTGTCGAACTCTGGCTTTTCATTTGTTTCTCCCAACCAGGAACACCATGCTTACTTTACTGCACAACGAAATGCGCACCAGCTGCTCACCCTCAAGGTGTGCACAATAATTGCCCATGTGATATTCCAGTTTCCGACAGTCTGATTACATAGATGCGTTCCAGCCACATCTCAGATCCACGATGATCCAGCTCAAAAATCGATATTCGAGCGCATACCGGACTCGGCCAAACTCGAGCGGCGCCGAAAGACTCCGCTGTACCGGAATGGGGAAGTTGAGCGACGAATTATGATTAGCCGCGATAGCGAGTTCAACAGCGTTGGTGATTCGGGAAGCCCCGCTCGGCAGCCGTCAGCCGTGTCACTCTATACCGTTTCTGCCGACAGCAATGTAAGGGTGTGGCTAGTCATGCAGGTAATTCGGATAGCGTGACTTGTAACAAGTCCCTCAGCTATGATTCGTTGATTCGCCAAGTATGAGGCGTTGAACGATGACGATACGGTAGAGCTTTGCCAGATGTGAGTGTGCCAGCCGTTGTAGAGTTAAGGAACGAGACTATGTCGACAAAAACCGCATCCGTGTGCAAGGCTGAAGGGATCGATCGTGGTACCGGAACTCTGTTTCAGCGGATCCATATTGGTTGATACTTTGGGTTTCGTACCGAACCGCTTTGACGCTCTTCGCTTGGGCGGGGCTCGTGCATCCATGTCGAGGCACGGAATGCTGGGCCCCTAATGAGTGAATAAGGTTTGTGAGTTTCGCGCTTTGGTAACAGGGTCGTTAGTGGAGACCCGACTCGTGCAGTAGTCCAACAGTTGTGAAGAGATCAGATTGGGTATAGGAGCAACATCGTCGAGTAATAGCTGGTGTGATAGGTACATGTTGCCGACGCCGCATATTGGGCGCCGGCGGAGGAGGTGTGAAACGTAGATGCGAAGGCGTCCCATGCACGGTGTGATACATGGCTTCATGACGCGCAGAAGATATGAGCAGCAACATGACAAATCCCGCTCATCATGGAGCGCCGTGGTGGCATGGCAGCCATAACGCCAGAGGGAGTGGCTCTCTCGAAAACAATAACGCCAATTCTTTTCCTTTCCACCTCTTTCAGGCGGTGAAATCTTACAGTAACAAATACCAAGGATAGCACCTAAGTCAAAAGCGAGAAGAGGACCGGATGTGGGTATAGCGGAGGCTCTTCTTTTGCTGTCATGGAACACCAACCCCAATGCAAATGCAAACGTGAATCGAATGAGAACTTTCGTGTGCTGAAGCGTAATCGTGAACGAGATGGCGTAGACATTACGACCTATGCTGGAGCGGTCGGGCGGACAGGTGGCGTCGAGTTGGAATTAGGGTCGAATGTGACCACTTTCCGATACTTGGAGGCCTCGTGGGGTATCTCGGACTTTCGCTTGGCGGAAACGGGATAGGCTGGAGCATTAGGTGGCGAAGGGTCTTCTATGCTTCTGCTTCGTGACTTGGGCGGGGCTTCCGTGTCGGGCGGGCTGGTTACGGCTGCTGGACACATTTGATGCTGGCGTACCCAATGTGCGTAGGCTTCATCAGCATACTTGGTGTGGTTCTCCAGTCGTTTGATGTAGTCCTGGGTCAGCCTTGTCTGTTCGTGTATATTCTGTGCTGGTGAACTCAGACGGAACTGGTTCTCTCCGGGTAAGGGCCGCTTCCAGCGGACACCGCAGTTCTTGCATCGCTCCACTTGGGGCGTATTTTGCTGCTGAAGCTGGGCTAGATCCTCAGGAGGAGGGGGCGCAGAGCTAATAGCCAAGATGGCCTGTTCCACAGAGGGTGCGATGGTGTGCTCAGGCGATGGCTGTTCTTCGGGAGTCTCCACTGGCACAGGGACTGCCGGAAGGGGGTCTGGCCGGGGTCTCTGATTTGGCGGCATGTTTTCCGAGGTGTAGACGGTGTTGAATCTTACGTTGTAGCGTTGATGTCGCCCGCCACCGTTTGTTTGATCTAACGTGGGAGATGGGAGTGGTCTCCTGGATCCAGATTCCGGGTTAATGTCTCGAGCCTGCTCTGGCGACCTGGACGATTCCGTAAAAGTGTGAGGGCCTGAGGATAACGATGGGGAGGGTGCTCCGTTTGGATGGCGGGTTCCTGTGTCTACGGGTACCTGATTTGAGCGGTTATCGCTCACTGGAGAGCGTGGCGAGGAAGGCGCAGCTGGATGTGAGATGGGGCGGGACGTGTTAGATTGACGACCATTACCCGCAGCAGGGTGGAAATAAGAAAAGGCCAGCACAGAGGAGGGGAGAGTAGGTTCGGATTCCTTTGAGTTTTCGAAGCGATGGGAGATGGCCGAGTCTTGGCGGACGCTGGCGGACGGATGTGGTGGTGGATGCGAAGATGCAGAGGAAGAGACAGGCGGACTGTAGGCAGCAATTGGGCCCTGGGGCAGAGAGAGAGAAAATGGTTGATGTTCGGGGCCCAGTGGTGGAATTCTGGTGTTGGTGGGGCTGGCCAGCAGGTCAGCACGCTTGCGGCAGGCTCTGTCACTTGTCGGAACTTACCTGACGTGCGGGCTCGCGTGATTGACTGCGGTGAAGGCGCTGGAATGTGAGTTTGGATGCGCAAAGTCGAGGGCAGCGAGCGTGGCCGGCGGCGTCTGGTGCGAGACAGGACGATCTTGGGGCGTCGGCGGCGGCGGCACGTTGTCACGCGGGCGGTGCAGGACTGAGTCGGACGACGAGGTCAGCTCAGCAAAGCTGGGGAGGGTCCGCTGGGGAAAGTGGTTGGGGTCGGGCTGCGGGTGCCTGCGTGGATGCCAGTCGCTTCCCATCATGGCATTCGGACGCTGTATTTGAATCTGGCGGTCTGGCGACGCGGTGAGGGAGTTGTGCGTGAGGAAGAAGGGCAGGGTCGCACAAGGAGTAGGGTCTCACGGGAAGGGTGGAAAGGGTCTAGCGATGCAGCAGCTCGAGTGCAGTGCTGGGCCCGCACTGGAAGAAGCGGCTGGCGGCCCTAGTTGAGGGACAGGGCATGTCACTGGTTTGCGCGCGCTGCGGGGGAAGGCGCTGCTGCTGCACTGTGAAAGAGCGCGCTGGGGCCCACTTGAGATGGCATGCAGCGGGGACCTGATGCCGTCGACGAACCCATGCCCCCATGTCGCCCGCCCACCGCCACCCTGCCACCCATGCTGGACATGGGCCTCGCACGGCGGGACGCCAGACGCGGAAGCGTGCGAAGCGCTAAGGGGCTCGGGGCTGACGGCTGGAGATCCGCTTGTGGCATGCCAATCTTGCCAGACTCGAGCTGCCGCCCGCCCCCGAGCGCACGACATGACGAGAAACCACAGTGACCACAGTGACCCTCAGTGACCTTCAGCCTGTGCTTCCATCTAGACGGTGTACTGTCCCCTGACTGGCTGTGGGAAACACCCCCGTGTCCTCAGGCTTCCGTGTTCTGTTCTGTTCCCTACGTCCTCCCGGCTGTGCGCCCACTGCGGCTAGCTGCTTACCTAGCCCGGCCCCACGTGACCGTCCCATGCCCGTCCCATATTCGTCCTCCAATCTGCCTCTCCGCCAGGGTGTCCCTTTGCTTCTTTGGACGACTGCGGCTGCAGCCGAATGAACGCAACTGTGGGCTTCCCGTCTCGGCCACCGACGCGCCGCGACAACGACGCGCTGCAACGGGAGATGCGATGCTGCAAACACCGTAGACTGCTCTGGAAACGACGCTGGAAACGCTGACGTCGCTTACCTCTGACCTGACCTTGACTGTGCCGCCCTCAGCCGCCCGCCCCTCCAAACCACTCCGCCAAGTGCCTCACCACACGAGTGGCAGCACCTCAACACGCCCGCCATGATGCCGCCATATCAGAACCTCCTCCTCGGCCTCCCAAAGCCGTTAGTCGCTAGCTCTCATCTCGCCATTTGCTGTTTCGGCTAGCACTCAACGGTGCTTGTGGCGCCAGGCGGCAGGCTACAGCTGCACCCTCCTGACGCATCCAACGGCCATGTTAGTGCCCTGCAACATCTCTCGCCCCATTGCCTTCACCGATGCGACATGGGCAACTCTCAATTACCGGACCGAATAGGAATCCTCCCGCGCGCGCTTTTCCAAACAAGTGCCTATCTTGGTATCTCGACCCCCCTCTGATTGGCTCGTGACCCGCCCCTGCCTCCTGCCTGACCGATGACTACGCTTGAGGGACCTCGTCTACGAGAACGTCAAAACGCGGACATTTTCAACCAGACACTAAACGGTGTGCAAGAGCTGGAATAAAGTTAAGCTACTGTCCATCCCCTTGTACGCCGAAATGACCTGATCAGTGATCAGACCTGCCTGTCGTCGTGACCTTCGGGTAGCTGCATGGCGATCCTACAGAGCTATCGGCCTGCCACGCCGCAAAGGAAGATCCTTCTGCTCCCAGTATCAAAATAACTCTTCATGTGGGGGGCGTACTCGCCCACTACTATACTATCGTGTCTGGGCGATTCAAACAACATGCGTCACCTAAACCTGCAAGCGATAATGCAAGTCTTTCACGGCTCTAGCCAGATTGACTGTGCAGCGCATTCGATAATGCGCACAGGAAGTCGCCGTCTGCTTTCCCGAGCATCGAGAGCCCTACGGGATGCCGCAAAATCACCAGCGGGCCGAGTTCCTGACTTTGTAATCTTCCTGATCAGCTTTCCCGCAAGTTTCACGAGTGTTTCCTGTCGTGGTACAAGGTCATTATCCTGAGTGTTACACCACAAGCCAAGGCACTCATCATCAGCCCAAGCTTAGGCCCGAGGCGATTACCTTGCCACTATCCGATTGCTCTATCTGCAGATCGATGAATCGATGCCTTCCTTGCATTCATCCTCTGCTTGCATAGCAGCGCGTCTGTTCACGGTCAGATCCACCTGGCGGACTTAATCATCCGGCCTACCATGGTTATCACGGACGCCCGTATAGAACACGTATGTTGCTCGCATGGGCACGTCGTAGCTAGCGAGTCCATCAATGCGGTTGAGCCATGCGAGTGCTAAGCCCTAGGTTTACATTCGCACATCCCTGTCACCGGGAGTCGTTCCCCGCCTCGCCTGCATCACCAAAACGACGCTAATAATCTCTCAAAGACCGACCACGGACTTTGAAGAGACGTTGCGCCAATCAAGCTCAGACACCGCAGGATGGATGTTTGGCTCACACCGGCAGTACAGACCCACCCTCTAGCAAACTTCCTCACGTCTGTGTGGCGAGCTTGGCCGTCAATCATTCGCTTAGGCATGTATGCGTGCCTGCACGACATCGCAGCATCGAACCTTGAGATGCACGACGCCCCCGTCCAGGTTAGCTTGAAGCAATCCGTGCGAGAGAAAGCTGGAAGCCCAGACCTTTTACCTGTATGTGAGCAGCAGTCCCTGCTGTGCAAACTCTTCTGGTGCGACAGACTCACGCATCGCAGCTCAGCAACGTGATAAGGCTGAGATGGCGCAATCGTCAGCTTCGCAATCATGTTCAGGTCACGCCTGTTCGTGCCTGGCGATGCCTCGCATGCGTTATCTGGCAGACAGAGCAGCTAGCCTCGTTCTCACGACTATCCATACCTCATTTGCCAGTCAGCATATTTACAGTGGATTGCCAACGCGTGCATATACGCGAACAGCACCATGCTTGTCCACAAGCAACGCGATTGGCCTGTAGTATTTTCCAAATTCCAGCGTCCTGGGCCCCAGCCGAGTGACTGCCGACTAGTCGCTGCAGCCTTGGACCGCAAACAGCTGGAAGACTGTCACTCTATCCACCATCGGCCCTTCTTTTGGGGGACGCCCCTTTGGCTGTTCCTTTTCAAGTGATGACCCTTATGCCTCGGCTCGTTGCCGGGTGAGAAAGACGTTGGAGACATGATCACGCTGTGCCGCTTACGCGAGTATGCTGACCTCCAAGGATGATCCACGCCCTGCACCTCCCGCGCAAGAAAATCTCGACACTCACACCGATATCTCACAGCGTGCAACGCCATCAGAACAAACGCCTCGCCGCGAAGGCCTCGTCGACCCTTTCTCAACGGCGACTGCTTCACCTGGAGCATTGACCAAGCGTTTCATGGCAATTATCCTGAACTGTGGGGCACCATCCGGGCCGCATCCGTACCTTAAACCAACATCTAAACTTCATGCGAGAGGCAATGTTGCGCATCGTTCCTAGCACTGCGCTGGGCCGTGGCAAAGATGAAGGGGAGATGATTCGCGCCTGGGTGTGCTGACTCGAACTTTGCCGCAGGAAGCCGACGTTCCAGATGATGGATGCACACCCAGCAGCGTGGTAGTACGATCCACGAATTATTGTACGGACGATCGTACGGACGATAAGCGTCCAAATGAGGCAGTTGTCGTAAAAATGAACTCGCTCATGGAGACAACTAACACCGTTCAGTATATGGATTTTGCTTTTCCGCTGACTGGAGCCGGCGTGCACAGCCGCTCGTCCCGAAAGAGTCAAGGTACGGGTAGCTACAGTGCTTCTTCATGCACGACATTCTGATCGGTAGGAAGAAAAGCAATCGCGCCTTTGTGTGCAGCAGCCATCCGACAGCCTCTTCCTCAGCGAACAATGGCGCAATTGAACCCTTTTCTTTGAGAACCGAGGAGGCTGATAACGCCAGAGGATTCCAGAAGAAGCAACAAATTTCGTGTAGGCTATTGGCACTACAGCGCCAGAAGGCAAATCTAACCGACCCCTACAACGCGAATGCCGTATGTCGAGATGGGCCTGCGACTACCACACAATCGTTTCTCTCTATGCTCAATGCTGCGCAGGATGAGCGCTTACAGCCAGGATTTGCCGGGAAGACCTTGTCTACACGACACATAATCTTACCCACCTGACCTCCCTTTGATGTGGCCACCTCGTTCAAGGGAACAACGGAATACCCTGGAGTCTACGCTGACG